AACCCCATGAGTTTGTGTTTGGTCTCACTTAATTAGCATTTTTAGTCTTTTAAATGTCGCTATATTTTGTAACCACGTCCTTAAGCTTTAATAGATCAGGAGTGGGAGTTTAATATCCTCATAGTAGTAACTTAGGTCTTCTTTCTTAGTATCGGAGATTGAATCTTCTTCCATGGAATGGAACCAAAACTTTTGTAAGGGCATGGAAAGCTCCAAAGTCAGAATTATTTAAGAAAAATCTCCTTGGTACTACTACTACTGTTGGTTTTGTCGGAATCATTTTTTACCCAAGTAGATCGGTCGTAATAGTCACTGCCATGTTTTGGGTACATCTATATGAACATTTTTGTGGCCCCAAAAGGTATTGTAATCTAAAATGAATCAATAAACCAAAACTGAGCTGATTTTGGCATTTTGCCTGCAAAAATGTATTATCAAATTGTGTGTTTTGTTTATAAAGAGTCGGCATGATCCTCGCTTGATCTCAATCAACATCTATAATTCTATATAGATTAACAAAATGAGAATCTGCAATGATCAAAAGATAAAACCACAATTGTTTTTGTGAACACTAGTCTACTAAGAAGAATCCCATGTGCTTGTCACAGATCCTAATTCTTTCTCAAGGAATCCGATGAAAACGGACCCACTAGAGAGACATTACATAAATAGTATCCTGAAATTTCATTAGAAGATGTATCTAAGAATTACGTGAAACAAAAATCTCCACATTTTCATTTAAAAGACTCCATATATATACAAATTTCTTTTCAGAAATAAAACAATATCCAAGCAAACTATATTAAAACAACCATCCCGTAAAAAAGATAGGAAATTTCCAGCTTTTGGAGCCCTTTTTACCCATCAAAATTTTTAGAAGTATTGTGTTTTGCAACTATATAGTATTAGTAGAAATATATAATTTAGTGTGCTATTTGATGGAGTATGAGCGAGTGCATACCGTTTGTAAGGACTCCGTGAACAGAGCAGAGAAACTTGTTAAAGCTTGGAACACGCCCGGCAAACCGGTCTGCAAGTTATTCAAAGTCATGGCTCTTGTTACTTCTATTGCCTTTGTATGTTTCAGCATTTCTTCCTCCACTCTTCTCTGGCATGCTCCTAGCTCTATCTTTTTCTCCGTGAGAGGGTCCCGAGCGTCTAGCACATGTCCGTTGTCTGGTCCTGAATCCGGGAGACCAAACCCGACTGTGGAGTATGACTGGTAGTATTTCCTTTCGATGTTTCTAAGCGATGAAGCTTTCTTCTCGAGCTCCTTTGATGCTGATTCTGTTCTTTTCTTTATCTTTAATTCCTCGGATTGTTTCGCGGATATCACGTGAACAACGTTGATGAAGCTCTTGATTGCTTCTGAAGCCACTGTATCCGGGACTCGGTCTAGAGTAAGCTTCCACTCATCGCAAAATGCGTAGGCGTCTACTGGCTCTTTGTGACTGGGATTGTCGTCGTGGCAAACTGGAAGAAGAGTTAGCTTGAACCAGGCTTGAACCGAACGAATAAAGTCCCGTTGGAATTTAATCAGTCGACAGAAACTGGAGTGCCATAAAGCCACGGCTGTTTCCAAGTCACGTGTTGCTTGTCGGTGTAGTTCAGATGTTGATTCCCCTTTGCCTGACCTGTTAATGAGCCCCTGAACTTGCTGTATGATGTTGTTCTGAATCTCGTGGAATTGATGCATTGATTTCCACATGTACATGAAACTGCACAAAGTAAATATCAGAGATTAGCGTGTAACTCTCAGCTGTTCAAAGCAAATGCCTATACAGCACAACTGATGGACTGAAGCAAATTATTGCAGCATAGTATTAGACTCTTAGGATGAACTTTTCAAAATGGTTCTCTTTTTTAATCTACCTCTCTCTCTCTTTTTGGCATCACTACAAACTACACCACTTGAACTTGGGTCGGGACCTTTAAAATGCAGGCTTTAAACCACCCTGTCACTTACGTATTTTTAGAGGAGATCTATCTCAAATCTCTATCAGAAATAATACGACGAATACCCGAAATCAGAAGATTTTCATCTCCACTGAGCTATATATTAGCCAATAAGCCTTTATCATAATAACAATCAGCCTGTAACATAGGCAAAGACATGATCAGCAATTCAGCAGCTTACTTGTTAGTTGTTACTTGGTCAAGATAAGCTATAAAACCCAAAACTCTAACAATGTACAGGGATCTTCGTCTCACTCTAAGAAGCAGCCAATCATATCAGGGAAACCGCAATTCTATAGAATGGCTTCAGAAAGACACGAGATAGCTGACTGCTGCAGCTAGCAATTTTTTCATTAAATGTTCACCTACTTGATGAGTCCACAAGATTCTTTTATAGGTGTGAAAGTAGGTGGAAATATACAAACGGACTTCTACCAGTAAATTATGATACAGACATGTCAATGCAAGCAGCTGAATTGACTGCAACTGACAGCGCAATCAATAATGGATAATCAGCTAAATTAGATAAATGAAAGAATGCAAACTTACCCATGACAGAGTTCAACGAGCTGCGGGACAAGATCAGTATCACGAAGGCGGATAATCGCAGTAGATGTAGTGCTGACGGCCTGGGAAGTAACGATTATAAGAGACTGTAACCTTGTTATAGACCCCTTTGTCTTGTCTAGCTTAGTCTCATTTTCCCCCTTGTACTCTTGACTTTGAAGTTTCGACAACTTCTTTTCGTGCTCAATCTTCAACCCTTCTCTAGCCTGCAAGTTCATCCGTATCTCCAATCATTAGTGAAACGGAAAATCGACGAGAAGTGATAAAATCTTATTCGGATAACCAGCAGAGACCTTTACTTCCTCATAGAGTTTCTTTTCCCATGCCAAGAGGCGGTCTAGACTGGAAGAAAGGCTCTTGGAACCTCCCGGTTGGTCCAATGCGGTTGTGTCCATCCTGTACTTGACTTCCAATGGGGGCTTTGAGGTCCAGGTTGAGCTCAGGTTGCTCAATACGCTACTCGAATGAATCACCGTCTCTAAAACATAGCAAAATTCACAATGCAAAACCAAATCAGCTTGTGAATTGCGTTCACAATGCTTAAGATATCTGCACTTGAGATTCTACAAGAGAAATATGAACAAAACGAATCACACTCACTCTTCAATTGGCTGAAACTGCGATCAAGCTGTGCCCTGCCGAGATGAAGCATCTGAGAGACTTGATCACCGGCGGAAGCAGCCTTGTCGAAATTCTCCTTGATCGCATCAACAATCTCCTTCAAATCTCTATGCCTCACCACCATCTTCATGTCATCAATTTCTCCTCCGCCTCTATAGCTACCAGAAGACATCGTTACATAATCTCCTTTCCTATACTTCTCTTGTGCAACATCGCCATACTCCTGCGGCATTGGTGGTGGCTCCTGGTGACTCCTTCTCATCGAACCAGTCCTCACGGAAGATCCGAAATCAGAACGAGTACCGATGTCAGAAATTGACTCTCTA